AAACAACCAAAACAAGCAATGCAATATCTGTCACTGTGAAAAGATTGCAATTATGCAGAAGGAGCATAAATCTGAAAATATGGATATCAGTTAAAAGCAGACTCGTCAGGCAAAATTACAAAAACATGGGGCAACCGGTAATATAGCATTTTGAATCCAGAAATGCTGCCCTGGGCCTCACACTACAATGTAAACAAAATGATTTCAGAAGGGCCCTTTATTTGTCCAGAGGAAAAAGGACAGGTGCCACCATGCAGTGTCCATCTGCGCATGTCTCTTGAGCTGAATATTGATGCTCATGTTAAATGCCTCCCTAAGTCTGGCACGTTTCCAGGAAAGGCTGGAAGCCAGTTATGATCTTGGCGTGTCACCAAAACAAAAACCCAGGCAGGAAACCGGCTGTAATAAACACTATAAGTGTGACTGACAGCACGAAGGTCAAAGATTGACATGAACATAAATATATAAGACACAGAAATAATTCTTACTAACTGAAGCTCTTCATCTTCTTTCTCAACACACTGAAATCACAATAACCCTTCAATGTCCTGCAGCTGGTGTCAGTGCTGTTCATCACATCTCACAGCGATCACAAACATTACTGCCAGGCACATGGCTGTCCTCATCAAAACCAGCAGCTGTAATTTGTTGTATGTGCAGCATTTTTATCCATGGTGGTTAAAGGACAGTGTCAAATATATACGGAACAAAAAGTATAAACGCTCCATGTCAACATGGAGAGGTCACTACAATGTCCCTTCAATAAAGGCAATTCTGCAGCATTCAAGTACAGTGTCCTACATGTTTCAAAAAAAGTCCTGCCTGAAACACTCACATTTGCAAGTTTGGCAGAAATGGCTGAGAAGATTTCATGAACACTGCCATCATATATCACTTACATTTTCTGTCCAATGGTGGAGTTTTCCTGGAAGAGTAGATCGACATCTATGTCAAAGTTACATGTGGTTATGCACCAGGTCATTCCACCAACAACCTGTGGAAAAGCAAAGCAAAAACAAGCTGAGATGCAATGATAAAGTAAAGCCTGGTGACCCGCCAGGCTTTAAATACACTGGGAGAACACTGCTAAAACCCCCCAACAAAAATCAAAAGGTATGAGGCAACATTTATGCTAAACTAATGTAATAATGATTACATAGTGAATAAAAGTTAGAAAAGAAACACACCAAGTTGATGTTTTATGTTGTAGCATTGTCTGTGGATTCCCAAAGCAGCCCCCATCCCGTATCTAATTCTGTTTGTGGGGGACATGCCATGAAAATATACTGCTCAAAAAAAATAAAGGGAACATTTCACTTTAATTTTGTGTGTGGCTCCAAATCCAGGCCTCCATTGGTTAATAAATTTGATTTCCATTGATGATTTGTGTGATTTTGTTGTCAGCACATTCAACTTTGTACAGAACAAAGTATTCAATAAGAATATTTCATTCATTCAGATCTAGGATATGTTATTTGAGTGTTCCCTTTATTTTTTGAGCAGTGTATTTAGGAACCCTTGTTCTGGATTATTCTGCAATCATTCAATAATATCTTAAACCAAAATTTTTTTAGCTCCAAAACTGGAACACTTCAACCATGGTCTAGGTCAGAGGTTCCCAAACTGAAGCAGAAAACCAAAGTCTAACTCTCCCTATTGAAATCCACAGGGGGGCCCAGAAAGTGTTTGGTCTAGATTATTCAATATCAAAAGCAGAATACTGAGAGACAGCAAGCTCCGCTGAGAATTTTTAAACCTATTTTGTTAAACCTTTATTAGACAGCAATGTAAATTACACTTTGTGTGTGGCATTTTTTTCAAACGTAAAAAAAGAAGAAAAACAAAACACAAATCACTAACATGGCCCATTATACACTCCTCAAAAAAATAAAGGGAACATGTAAACGACACAATATAATTTCAATTAAATCAAACTTCTGTGAAATCAAACTGTAGACATTTTTTATGCTGCTGTGCAAATGGAACAGACAAATGAAAGGATTGACCAACATAAGAGAAATTTGCCCTTTCTTGCATCTTGACAGAGCTAACAGAAACCAAACCGTTTATAGATTTGCATCACAGAAAATTCATTTATCAAACATCAGTTTTCTCAGCTTTATTTCAAATCGTCTTTTATATCTGATAATAAATGGTGGCGCTACTAATATTTTTGTGACAGATTTCTGCTCGTCCTGCATTGGGATAGAATGGTTTTCTGGACATAACTCAATGCATCAAACAAATAGGCGCTGTCCAATCCAGTAATGCATATCAATTAGCAGCAGTATGAAAGACGTAAAAATAATTAACTATACTATATTAAGAATTTATATTTAATCCTCAGCACTACATGAAGCTCATTTTGAAACAATGCAAGTTAAAACCAAGATTTTGCAACAAGTAAATTAAGTCCAATGTTGAGTCTATAGAATGATGCTGCCACCCCTGAAAAATCCTTGCCCCCCTCTCAGCACCCCTTAGATATTTTTTTCCTAGATCCGCCCCTGCTTGGGGGTAATTAGATGAAGCACCTTATCAAATGGAGACAGGCCTTTGATGCGGGCCCGGAAGTAACCCGCAGCCAGCAGCAGCTCCAAGATTTCTGCCAGCTTCACTGTTTGTTCCTCATCCTCTCTGCTCTCCACCTGAATAACACAAGTGACCACAATCAGAATCAGTTAGCTGTGTGTTAGCAGAGACTAGCCCCAGTTTTATCCTCGTCCAGCTTTCATTCGGTCCGGTTCTGTAGTTTAAGCTGAACTCGATGGAGCCCGTCTGGGTTCTGAACGCTACCTGGATCAGCTGGCCTTCCTGGTCGTACTCTGCTCCAACCTTAGATCCTGCTCTCACTCTGAGGAAGACAGACGCAGTCGCCGCCATGATGAAAGAAATGCGATGCTGTGTCACATGACTACGTCACATGATTGAAATATTGGATGCTCTTCTTCTTGTCCCGTAGACATGCAGCGTTTTGGTGTTCTACCGCCACCAACTGGAATGATTAGGATACCAACCTGCAATTACTCAAACTATTAATTTAGTCTTCTTAAGGTTGTGTTGTGGTCAAAACCTTGATTCTCACTTGTTTATCTTCTCCAGAACTATAAAACATCCAGATATTTTTTATTATTATTATTTTTCAACCAACTTAATATTTTTTTTTTATAAAATACAATTGTAAACATACGAAAATTAAACATGAGAGGCATTCTGTTCACATTTAACAAGTCCATCTGAATGAGTAGAATAGAATAAACTGAGTACAATAAAGAATGGAATATAATAGAAACATCTTCTATTCACATTGGGGAAATTTATGTGCCATCATCAACTTACAGGTAAATAAAATGCATACTCACAAAAGGTAAAATAATGTAAACACTGAAAAATAAGAATAAGAAGGGTAAATTCACACCATTTAAATATGTTGTAGTTATTAAAAGCATACTCAGAGTAAAAGAAATGTCAGCCCAGTATGAAAAACGTACAAAACGTCTGCATAAAAACAGCACCTTATGTGTACAGGCAAAGAAGACACCCATAAGTGTTTTTCCACTCCAGGCGTCCGATCCCAATCATCATCGGTTCTGATGATGTCACATACATAACGAGTCCACAACATCTTAAAATTGTAAGTCTTTCTTTTTCTTTGCCGTTTTTCTGAACTCTCTACTACTTTCTCTGTTTCATTGCTCTATTTTGTAGGTTTCTGTAAAGTGCAGTGAACGGAAATGTTCTGTCGTTGATCCTCCCTGTTCTTAGGACGGAGAAATGTCAGTAATACTGGAATACTGTAACATTTTATTAAAGCAATACTCTGTCCTTGGTGAAATATTTTTCACATTTCCTCTAAATGGACTGAACTTATATAGCACTTTATCCACCCATTTGAAATCTCTTTCAAAGCGAATACACACATATCTGTGGCATGGGGTGATTTAACACCAAACTGGTTATCTGAAGTAAGCAGAAAATGTTCAGTCATACTCAATATAATCCTCTCCATAACCTTGGATAGTACACTGGCTAGCGCTATGGGCCGATAATTATCCCTGTTGTTTATTATGCCAGCTTATATTAGTGCCTTTATAATAGGCACTAATATAACAGCTAAAAGTGAATCAGACGAAATGCCATGGACTAAAAACCCAGTAAAACACAGAGCAAACAAAGGAAAGAGTTTTCTGCTTGAATATTTCCAGTCCTCTGCAGACACCTCATCCATACCACCTGCCGGGGAGCTTTTGACGCAGTTAAATAGTTCATAATAATGTTTCTGCCACATCTGAGTAATTTCCTCTGCTCCGTTTACGCCGTCGATATTTATTGGCAGACCTGTTTTATCATTATTCATATTCTTTATTTCCTTCCAGAAATCATGTGTGCAGTTGTTTTGCATTTTTCTTGTGAGTAAATTATACTTCATTGTATCCTCATTTCTTTTAATAAAACGTAGGTCATATTTAAAACGTGCATTTGCCCGTTTCTTCTACTCCAAAATAAGAGCATGCTTCTGTCAACCACAGCCTTAAAGGCCCGCCTGGCCACAGCATGAAGCTCCTTCACCCGCTCATTCCATCCAAGTAACTAAAACTGTACTTCATTAGCAATTATGATAAACCAAATGTTTCACTGGAGCGTACTGTGATCACAGCACTACTGCAGTGTTTCTCCACTACTGTTTAAAATCCATACATCTATATGGCGCCCCCCAGAGGGCAACAGCCCACACAAGTGGGAAAGGCTGCATCGCTTATTTTAACAGAGAAGTAAATGTGACTTGCACTGTCATTTCTAAATTATTCGATATAGCTTAACTTGTATGCCAAGTATTTTTTTTAAAAATACTTTGCTGTTCCTGTAGCCCACTTCGTTTTCTGCAGTAGCAGTGAAAGAGTGCGCCCTTTAAATCTGATCACATAGTGAAGCTTTCTACAAACTAATGATGACCACACTCCAATCTGGTAGGTGGCGGTAAATGCACCTTAAGTTGGTTGCCAGCTAAAATTCAAAAGAAGAAGAAGCTTTCTATAAACAGTTGAATGATTCCGACATAATTTCATCTGAGTAAAAGAAATGATTTCTACGTCACCCATCTGATGTTGTGGCCTGTAGGCTCGAGAAGTTCCTTCGTGGAAAGAGACTTCAGAAAACCCAAAGGGAGGAAAGTTTACAAAGAGACGGAAACATTTTTTTGCGACACTCCTGCTCTTGTTACGACCAGGCTTTGCGACAGCGTTTGTGTTTGGGGCACATGTGAGATTGAGCTCTGTGTGGTCTTCAGCATGGCGAAAGACTCCAAGAAAAAAAGTAATAAAAGGAAGTTAACGGTGAGCTCCGGTGCTCCTGTCGTCAGCGAGGGGGATCAACAGCCGGTGTATGAAGAGGAAGAAGAAGAGCAAGGCGGTATGGACAGAGCAGAGGAAGAAACCGTGAGCGGCGAGGAGGACGAGGGAGAGGATGAACGAAAACGGCAAAAATTGCTGGAGGCCATCAGGTCCCTGGGTGGGAAGAGGAAGAAGGCGCTGGGGGAGAGGTCCGAGGCGGCCGGACACATGTCCGAGTTCTCTGTGAACCCTGACGGTGGTCCCGGTAAGGTCCAGCTGTCGGATCTGATCGGGAGCTTAGAAAAGACCTCCGCTGTCCCAGCTAAAAGCAGAAAGCAGTTGAAGAATCTGCAGCTCTCTGAGAAAACCATCGAATCTCCTCTGAGCAAACAAGAGACTGAGAGGATCCAGAGGGACATGGCTTTCCAGAAGGCAGCCTCAGAGGTGAGCCGCTGGGACGGCGTCATCATCCAGAACCAGAGGGCCGAACAGCTGCTGTTCCCTCTGAACCAGGACCCGGCCGGCCCCAAACCGGTAGAGAGACTGGTGGTGGGCTGGAAGGCTCGGACTCCACTGGAGCAGGAGATCTTTTCTCTGCTGTCTGCCAACAAGCAGCCCCTTACTGACCCCGTTCTGACCCCTGCTGAGGAGGCGTCAGTAAAGGCCATGAGCCTGGAGGAGGCCAAGATCCGCCGTGCTGAGCTGCAAAAAGCCCGGGCCCTGCAGTCCTACTATGAGGCCAAGGCTCGGAGAGAGAGAAAAATCAAAAGCAAGAAGTATCACAAAGTGCAGAACAAGGCCAAGCGGAAGGAGTTCCTGAAGCACTTTGACGAGATGGTGAAGCTGGATCCAGCGGTTGCCCTGGAGGAGCTGAATAAGATGGAGCTGGCCAGGATGCAGGAGAGGATGTCACTAAAACACCAGAACAGCAGCAAGTGGGCCAAGTCAAAGGTCATCATGGCCAAATATGACGAAGAGGCTCGCAAAGCCATGCAGCAGCAGCTGGAGATGAACAAAGAGCTCACTCAAAAGTTGATTACTCCACTCAACGACAATGATGACGACGATGAGGAGGAGGAGGCGGAGGAGGAGGCAGGTGATTTGCTTCCTGACTTTGTGAACGATGCGGTGGATGGTCGAGATGCATCGAATCCGTGGATGAAAGGCAAACTAACTGCAGAACCAGCGCAGCAGCAGCAGCAGCAGCAGCAGCTGAGTGACACGGTGACTGAGGCAGCACAGGCTGTGTGTGAGGAAGAGGAGGAGTGTCAGGTTGTGGAAACAGAAGAGGAAGCCCTCCTCAGAGAGTTTAACAGTAGGAGGAAACTGCATCAAGCTCAGGAGTCTGACGCAGCAGGAGGTGTTTTGCCAGAGGAGGCGACGGAGGACGCAGCAGTCGAGTCGGAGGCTTCCGACAGCGATGACAGCTGTTGCGTGTTGGAGTCCGTAAGCGTCCCCGGAGGAAGAGAAAATGTCCTGAGAGAGACAAAAGCAGCCGACTGCTCTGAACGGTCGGCTCCGCTGGAGGAGACGCTGATGAGGATCAGGACCGTGGAGGACGTGGAGCTTCTCCCTCCTGAGCCGTCAGGTGAACCCAGTCAGCCTCCCGCTACGG